TTGAAAGTGCATAGAATAATGCAAAAAACGGTTGGCATAATCCTCTATCAGTGCATGTTTATTGTATCCGACACATTGCGCAAAATTTTATGAGAGAAATAAAAGACAAGAACCTACGGAAAAAAATAATTAACATGGATAACTATATTAGATAATATTCATTAAATTTTGTCAATAACATATATTATATTTTTGTCCATTATTGATATTTTAATTATTTAGGGTATGCTTTAAACCAACCAACATTTTATTACTATCGGTCTGAGATTTGCATGGCAAATGCATATGCTTTAAAGTGGATTGACAGTATTCTAGCCGAAAAATGGACGAGGGCTTTTGACGGGGATTGACGTTGGGGTCACATGACTACCTACCTTGTTGAGTCATTGAATGTTATCTTTAAAGGCACACGTAATTTTCCCATTACAACATTGGTAAGGGCAACATATTATAGACTGAGATCTTTATTTGCTGAAAAGGGGTGCAAAATGGAGTGGTGTGTTGAATTCTGGCCAAACATTTACAGACAACTGCCTCAAGGTGATGAAACAAGAAACAATAAACATTTTGACTACAGTCAGAATTTTTGACTACACTAACAATGTTTTTAGTGTGAAGGATGGTGAGGGGAAGCCTATGAGACATTATAAGGCCAACCTCTTAAACGGGTGGTGTAACTGCGGAAAGTTTCAAGCATATCGTGTCCCTTGCTCACATGTTATCGCTGCATGTTCGAATGTGCGCCACGACGCTTACGCTCTTTTGTCCGACGTTTATAGGGTTACAAACCTGTTTGGGGTTTACAACACAAGCTTTCCAGTGCTTTCGTACGATGAATATTGGCCCGTTTATGAAGGAGATCAAATTTGTCATAACCCAAGAATACGGAGGAACAAGAAAGGTCGCCCAGTGAGCACACGTATTAGAACAAAAATGGATAACTTTGATAAGTTTGAGAGAAAATGTTCCATGTGTCGTCAAACGGACCACAATCGAACCCGGTTGTAATACCCCAAATTTTGCCCTAAGATTTGTCGTCGCATTTCATTGCATTTTTATTGCATTTAATCAATTACTAACAAATTTGTGTAGTCGTTTGACTTTTTGCAGGTAAATATCATATGGCATGCATTTTTTTTCTAAAAAGTAAAAATGGCATAATTGGCAAGAGGACATGTGTAAGGAGTTGTGAGTGTGAGAGGTTGAGAGTTCGAATCTCACCTTTGTCACTTTTTGTTTTTTATTATTTTTACTCTAAATTTTTCTATCTTTCATTAAAAAATAACAAAAATAGTTTTTTATTATTATTTAATTATTATTTTCGTATTTTAATTAAATCATTTTTTAAAATATTATTTTTTTCACTTTTTTCTAAATTATTCATAAAAATATCCAAAAAATCATAAAATAAAAAATATTGGAAAAAATTTTGTTCTTTTTATAATATTTTTGATTTTAGGAATCAATAGGATTATTAGTTTTCATTTTTTTTATTATTTAAATTTTATTTTTTCTTAACTAATTATTTAGTTTGGGCTTTAAAATGGGCTTTAGGGACATTATTGACAATTTGGTGTTAACCCTAATTTGTTCCCTATATATACATGTGTTGCCTTGTTGAAAAAGGGGTCAGAAGGTTTTCTTCAGAAAAGAGGAGAGAGAAAGGGAGAAACAAAGAAGATCCCCAGGAAAAAAAGGCGGTCGTTCCCACAACTCGTCAGAAGGATTGGAGCTCTCCAGTGTTCCCTTATTCAAACCTTTTTCACATTTACCGAAGCAAACCTCCGCTTCATAGGTTAAATTACTAAACCTTTTGCCTTTTCATGTTTATGTGCATATTTTGCCATGTTAATGTGTTTAGGTCCGTTAAATTACTAAACCTTTTGCTTTTTCATATTTATGTGCATATTTTGCCATGTGTGTTTAGGTCCGTAGATTTTAATATCAAAACCCTTTTTTATCAAAACCTTTTTTTAAAATCAAAACTTTTTTTTTTATTTATTATTAAAACCTTTTTTTTAGTAAGACCTTTTTTAAAAACTGAAAAACCTTTTTGTTCCTAAGAAGAAAAAAAAAACATTTTTGTACCCAAAAACCTTTTCCCAAAAAACTGAAAAGACTTTTCCTCCAAAAAAACTTTTTTTATAATTTAAACTTAATTTTTTTTATAATTTTAACTTAAATATTTTTTATTAAAAAATTAAAACCTTTTTTTTATAATTAAAATATTAAAAAATTAAAACATTTTTTTTATAATTAAAATATTAAAAAATTAAAACCTTTTTTTTTATAATTAAAATATTAAAAAATTAAAACCTTTTCGTAAGGAACTCCTGATGTTTGATGTTTGTCGTGTCATTTTATGTACCTTTTATTACTTTTCTTTCTTTGGGCATTTCATGTGCATGCTCGAGGTTGAAATGTGCTTGTGGTGGCCACAGCCCCACGCTATTTTCCTCCTTCACTTCATTCTAAGTGTCATTACATATTTTCATATTCTTCATGTTTTCAAAAATGTTTCTTTGTTTCTTTATACCCTCTGCCTTTATTACTTTTCTTATTTCTGTACCTTAATTATTCCTCCATATAATGATTTGTCATATTTTCACATTTTTCACAGTTTTATCCTTCCGAAGGATTAGGTCCAACCTTTTGGCCGCCGAGTCAATAGCCTTACCCCTTTAATGGATCAAAGCCTAGGTGTCCCGCCGTGGGCAAAATTGCTTTTATCCTAGTGTTAGGCCAAAAGAGTCGCCTGAACAAACCTTGGCCGCAGTCAAGACGTTTCTAACCTCCCTTTTGAGGGGAACTACAGTTACTCTGATTCCATTCCCGTAAGGATATGTAGCCACAAGATGCGATGTCTTGCCGAGTAAACTTAGAATTAACCCCTAGGTCTTTTTTAATTTTCAATCTTTTGTATATACCCTAAAGCAAAATAATTAATGAAATAAAAAAAAAAAAATAAACAAAAGTTTCCGTAGAGTACTACGGAAGTTTAGGGTGCTAATACCTTCCCTAAATTTAACCAACCCCCGAACCTTAGATCTCTCCCTTTTAGGTTTTTCCTTTCTTTAACCTTTCCTTCGGATAAATCAAAGACCGGTTGTAAATGAATTAAGATTCAAGTTAATCAATAGTTTGACATCCAAATTTCACCGCAACACCGGTGTCCCAATGTGGAAACAAGTAATCGTTAGTGTTTTCATTAATTATCATGTATTATTTTCAGATTAATATCTAACTTCTAGCAAAAACCACATAACTTTATGTTTCATTAAATGACACAGTACATACATAAATCAACATACATAAAAACACTAAAAAGCAACATTTAACATAACATTTGGTACGATTTCTCTAACTAATTACAATTAGCAGCCTGATCTCATTTTGCCCAAACATCATTTCCATAGCTTTCTTATCATTCTTGACTTATATCCATCCATGTCGGGCATAATACCTCTCAATACTTCTGATTTTTTCCCTTCCGGTATGTCTCCTTCCAACCAACGTTTCAATTCCCTATGTAATTGCTCTAAACTACATATGTTCCAGAAAAGCATTTCCATAGCCGGTTTTTCTCTCGAAAAAATCACTTTTCAGGTGCCAGCAGTGTACAAAAACATTAAAATATTAAAAGGTTTCGCCCATTCAGGTGCCGACACTGTAAAAAAACATTAAAATATTAAAAGGTTCCGCCCATTCAGGTACCGACACTGTACAAAAATATTAAAATATTAAAAGATTCCGTCCATTCATGTGCTGACATTGTACAAAAATAAAAAAATACTCGTTTATTTATTGTTAATTAAATTAAAAATTAATTTTAATTATAAACATATTAATAATATTATAAACATATTAATTATTAATATACTATTAATAATTATATTAGCTTAATTATCTCTTACTAAATAATATTAATTATTATTATCAACATATATTAATATTAATAATATTAACTAATATAAATTAATTTTAAAATTATATTAATATTAATATTTAAATTATATTAATATTATTATATATTAATTGATTAATTTAATATTAACATTATTAATATATATATATATATATATATATATATATATATATATATATATATATATATATATATATATATATATATATATATATATATATATATATATATATATATATATATATATATATATATATATATATATATATATATATATATATATATATATATATATATATATATATATATATATATATATATATATATATATATATATATATATATATATATATATATATATATATATATATATATATATTTCGTAAAAAAGAAAAACAAAAATTAAACAACTTTAGTCGTTCTTTCAATTGGCAGCATAGGCCATGTTAAATGTGTTCTGCCCTTTTATTGGGCGACAGTGTTTTCATATCTAGTTTTTTTTGTTTGCATGACATTTTGATATATATATTTGAGAATTTTTTACCACTTTGCCACAAGTTGAAATCAAATACACTAAAGTGCCACTAGGTGGAAAAAAATTTCACAAATGCCACTACTTCTTTAAGGGTTCGTCCTATGGTTGGACGACCCATTGAAGGTCTTCTGGGCGCAGCATGGGTTCGGCCAATGGATGGCCGACCCTTAGCTAGCTGCTTTTTTTTTTTGTTTTTTTTTTAATTTTTTTTATTTCAGAAATTATTATATTATTTTTTTAATAATTTTGTGTTTTTAATTGTTTTTGATATATTAAAATTATTTAAATAATATTATATAATAATAAAAAAATAATCTAATTATTTTAAAAATAATTTAATATAAATAATATTAATTTCATATTATATAATTAATTATTAAATATAAATAATTGTTTTTTAATTTATCTAATTAATTGTTTATTATGTATTAAAATTAGTTAAATGATATTTTATATTACCTAATAAGTATATAAAAGAATAAATTGAATCATAAAAAAAGAATATTATTAATATTTAATCAGGGGAAAAATACATCATTTTTAGACGGGCCGATTTGATGGGCCTGCCACGTTTGGACATTTTCTCCGCATATGACCGATTTCTCGACAAATCCCACATCTTCTCTTTTCTTTCTCAAAATCGTCCATTTCAGTTGTAATTCTTGTACTATTTGGACGCCCTTTCTTATTTCGTCGCATTGTCTCGTCATGGCAAAGAGTGAATCCTTCATATGTTGGCCAATTTTGCTGGTGTGGTAGTCCAAGGAAGCTTTGGCTGTATACTTTGAATACACTTAGAACTTTGAAAACATCTGGTATGTGCATGTTATGGTCCTGTCGTATACTGGCACATGCTGCGATTACATGAGAGCAAGGTAAATGAAATGCCTGAAACCTCCCACAATCGCACCACCCTCTCCTGAGATCAACGCTAAAAGTACCTAATGGTCGGCCATCGCGTTGGTTAATGCATTCGGCAACCATAAAACAAAATCTCTCGCGATCAAATTGAATGACGTTATGACTGCTAGATTTAATAGCCTCGTCGGCCATTCCCTTGATACAGTTTTTCGTGAAAGTTTGACCGGATGCCAACAGTTTTGTCCAATCGTGTCCTCGTTTTCCAAACAGCGATCCTAGACGATAGTACGTTGACTTGACCAATGCTGTAATAGGAAGGTTTCGGGTAGCCTTAAGTACCGAGTTCATAGATTCGGCTAAATTTGTGGTCATGTGTCCCCACCGCTATCCTCCGTCAAACGCCCTCGACCACTTCGCTCTGGGAATATTGTCAATCCACTCCAAAGCTGCTCTATCTGTTCTTCGTAATTCGCCCCTGTAGTAGTTAAATGTTGCCTCTGTTAGTGCATATCCTGAAAATAATTAAACAAAATGATTAGTAAAACAAAATGATCAAAAAATTATCAATAAAACTTGTGAAGATGTAGACATACCCATGTTGACAACTGTTTTTCGTAGTGCTTTGTTTCTGAACTCACGCATGAAGTTTTGCGCAATATGTCTGATACAGTAAACATGTGAAGATGGAGGAAACTGCCACCCATTTTCAGGATCATCGTAAGCACTCTTGATTGATGGATGTCGGTCGGATATTAGACAAAGATTGGCCTGGGGGGTCACGTGCATTCTCAAATTCTTGAGAAAGAAACTCCAACCATCCTTTGTCTCTCCTTCAACCAATGCAAACGCTATCGGAAAAATGTTACCATTTCCATCTTGTGCCACAGCCATTAACAAAGTCCCTTTGTACTTGCCGTACAACCAGGTTCCGTCTATTTGCACGATTGGTTTACAGAAACTAAAACCACGGATACACGGTTCAAATGCCCAAAAAAGTCGGTGAAATTTTCGTTTGTCACCCAACTGGGTTCCGTCATCTGTAATAATCGGCAATGTTTCCAACTGTATAACAGTTCCAGGAAGATATGTCTTCAGCACCAACAACCACTGTGGTAGGTCATTGTAAGACGTCTCCCAATTTCCATAAAGTGCTTCTACAGCTTTGATCTTTGCAATCCAAGCTTTCCGATACGAGATTCTATAACCGTATTTTTCAGCAATGTGGGCTTGTATAACTTTGACTTTCAGTGAAGCGTCGTTGTTAACAAGTTCTCTGATGCTGTGGCTAATAATTTCAGAATCTAATTTTCTATGATCCTGTGACATTGAGGTTGTAGTGCACGTGTGTGAACCCTTTATAGTAGCGATCTCCCATAATGTGCTTTTTTTACGCACAACAGCTCTACATTTGAAGACGCGTTGTGGGTTTGTACATTTTATTATATACCTTACTGAATCAGATTTATATACTGCATAGTCAAGGTTGTTACTAATATGCCAATGTTGTAAAAAAAGAACACATTCTTCCTTATTTTCAAACACCAAGCCTACTTCCAATTTTTCACCATTATGGTTTGGTTTTTCATTTTCAAAAATATAGATGGGTTGAGATGACTCCATACATATGTTTGACATATGCACTGGTGGATTGTACAGATTTATGGGTTGAGCATATATTACCTCTGACTGCATGAGTTCATCGTGACCGTCGTCATCGTCATCACCGAATAGGTCTTCAAAGCGAACATCATCGAGCTCATCGTCACTGTATTCACCAACCTCCTCGTTCCGGATGAAAGGTTCATTATTTTGCGTTATTTCATCATCAGTTGTTTGGCTCACCCCGTATTAATGCGAATATGATGATTGCGTTGGATATGCCTCGTCTTCAAGGAGAACATATAATTCAATTGTCTTCAACTGGGGCATTGTGTAATGACATTGAAACATTGATTTGACTGCGCTGTCTGTATCTATCTGCATCATTACGTAGAACACATCATCGTCTACCCCATTACGTATTGGTTGACGGTAAGTAATATCCTGGACAGAACGATTCACTTTTTTTTCAATTCTATCTTTTAGATGACGGATATCAGAACTTCGGTGAAGTTTGAACATCACCGTATCTGTTCCGTTGAATGAAAAACCGATATTTTCATCAGTAAACACGGAACCGTTATAGTGCATAGTGACCAATGTGTTTCTATCTGCCATGACCAAGGTTTTTGGAAATTAACAGTATGAGTGTATGAGTGGGAGGTAGATGTGCAGACTACAACAATTGCATGTAAAATATATAGGAGAAGCGTGCATGCTGAACAAGTTAAGGGACGTCCATTCAAAGGACGAACCCACACATGCATAGTAAAGGGTCGTCCAACCCAAGGACGTACCTATTAATTTTTAGTATATGGTCGTCCAACAAAAGGACGAACCCATGGGAAACGTGTAGGGGTTCGGCCAACGAAAGGGCGAACCATTGAAGAGGTAATTTTGCATGCAAGCCACTTGTCGTTGCATGCTTCTAGGGTTTGAACTATTAGGGTGCAGAAGAATCCATTAAGGCTGATGAAAAATAATAGGGTGCAGTATAAGGTGCATGCATGTGAGTTTCCAAAGGCTATTAGTGTGTATCACTACTTCACCACTTCAACATTTTTCTTATAAATACAATGCACATCCACATTTTAAAAATCATCACTTCAACATATATCACTACTTACTTCTAAATCAATAATTCAATATTTTTAAATTGCAATGTTGTGGTTGGGAGAAAATCATCGGGGAACACCGGCCAATATTGCCGCATTTGTATGTTATTTTTATTCACATTTCTGTTATTTATCTATTTGAATTTATTGATTTGTATTCATTTCAATCATTCAACAAGTTTGTATTTATTTGTTTTTATATTTGTAACAGTCCGATAGCGAGAGATTCAGACTACATTCTCATGCTATCGATGCACCAAGCAAAGAAATTAAACCGTTTTTGGAACGAGCTGGTTTCGCAAAAGTTGCAGAAATCTCCTCGATCAAAGTTGATTCAAAGCTTGTAATCGCTATGTTGGAGAGGTGGAGACCAGAAACACATACTTTCCATCTACCAACAGGTGAATGTACCATCACTTTGGAGGATGTGAGTATGTTATTGGGTCTTCGCGTGAATGGTAAGGCCGTGAATGGTCCTACTCAGGTAGGAGGTGATGTATATATGGAACATTTAGGCGTAGAACCTACAACATCTGATAAACATAAAGGGTACGTTAAAATTGTTTGGCTACAAACTACATTAGCACGATTACGTCAAAAAGCAAGACCAACCGATGAGGAAAATCTTTTACATGCAAAAATATATATTTTATTACTAATAGCTAAAGTATTAATGCCAGACAAGAGCCATAACTATATGCATTCTTCTTGGATACCCCTAGTTGGAGATTTAGATAAATGCAGAAGATATAGTTGGGGTTCTGCTTGTTTGGCTACATTATATAGACATATGTATAAAGCATGTATGGTAGGGGTCAAAAGTATTGGTGGGTGTGTTCTACTACTAAGTGTTTGGACATATTGGCGTATACCACTAATAGCTCCAGAGTCTCCCGCCACTGCACACCATCCTTATGCAACAAGGTAAATTTTGTTTACATTTTCTTTATCATTTATTTTCTTTTTGTTTCCATCCCTAAATTATTTATCTTTTTTTTTAACATTGGAAGATTTGTTCGAAGAGGCATGGCTTATCAAAATAATCCTCGGCACTACGTCCGAGGATTTAGATTCGCACTAGACAGATTAAGGGCTAACGATGTAAGTTTGTTAACGCAACATTCTCTAAATATGTGTCACCCATTGTATTAAAACTGTAACACTTATATTTTCTGTAACAGTTTATTTGGAGGCCATACCCAAGCTACCCCGAATGCGTCCTTCAAGATAGCCAGATTTGGAGCGCTACAACATCAATTATCAGTTTCCATATCGTTGAAATGCATCAGGCTGATAGGGTCAAATTGCAGTTTGGATTTCAACAAGATATCCCTCCTCAGCCTAGATGTCTACGTCAACAACATGAGACTGATATGCCTAATACATGGGGAGATCATTGGCGCAATATAAATAAAGAAGAAAATAACGAGTGGAGAAACAGAACAAATTTGACCCTACGAGGTAACATGGTTAACGGTAACTGTGTTCATAGTGCTGAATATATGCAATGGTTTTTATCCATTCCATTTATGCACGTTTCTCAAGGTCAGTTCCTAGAGGACCCCCGTCAGTATGCAACGTCTTCATCACAACAAAGATCCTCTTCGCCCATGCCTCAAGAAATGCCTCAGGTGAACCCTTCACAATTTGAAACACAGACATCTTCATTCAACCAACCAACATTCTTTGCCGCCTCCTCTCAACAACCAACACAACCACAACCCCAACCAACATATCAACGCACTCATACTACATTCTTTGCCACCTCCTCTCAACAACCAACACCGTACACCCCAACCCCACAAACAAACTACTACTATCGACAACAATATCAGGAACAAGCCACATTTCAACCTTCTTTTCAATTCACTCCGATCCCTCAGCCTAATTTTGATTTCTCTTACCCCCAACCACAACACCAAACATTTAACCCTTCAATGTCTCATCCAAGTTCATCCGGTCGCACCGACAATGTTTATTACCCTCCCATCCAACAAAACCCTCCAACCACTTTCACCCAACCATTCCAGTCAGCCCCTAACTTTACCCTAACGGATGATCAACTCATGGAATGGCCAGGTTTTTCGGTTACTGATGTGGACATGCTTGATACATCACGTCAACCTGAAAATGAAGAGTTGACTTCCGACTCTACCCCATCACCTCCAACATCACCTCCAATACGGCAAACTCAAGAGTTAGGCAGGGGGAAACGTGTGAAAAAGAGTACATTGTGTGGAACTGGCGGTCATTTGCGTAGATAAATATGATGTATTTTCTCCACTCATCAATATTAATAAAATATCTTTTTTTATTTTATCTAATTATTTAGTTAAACAATTAATTATATAATTTATTATTTTATATAATTATTTATCATTTTGTATATATAAAAATATTAAAAAATAATTTGAAATAATTAAAGTACTTATTAGGTAATATAAAATATCATTTAACTAATTTTAATATATAAAAAACAATTAATTAGATAATGTAAAAAACAATTATTAATATTTAATAATTAATTATATAATGTAAAAAACAATTATTAATATTTAATAATTAATTATATAATGTAAAATTTATATTATTTATATTAAATTATTTTTAAAATAATTAAATTATTTTTTAATT